CCAGCAAGGTTTTTAACCTTTATTCTTCTTAACGGGTATCAATTTTTTGTTTGATAGTAAAAAAGAGTATAAGTGGAATGAGCTGTACAAACTCAGCCCCCATTATAGATTGTTTTTTCTATAAGAATTTTTCAGATTGTCCAACAAACATTACAGAATGTTTTTTTTTTTTTTTTAATGTTTTGTTCTTTGTGTTTGAATCTTCTTAAAGGTACACAATATATTTAGTAGCCAAGATCCACTAATAAATAGTGCGCTTACTTTTTTCTGATTTGTTCAGATTCTGTAGTCACTACCGAAAACAGATTTCACTTGGCGTCAGATTATGGAATTGGTTAAAATCTTAAAAGGTAGACATGTTCTTTTTTAGTCTCAGTTTTTGCAAATTCTGTTCTGATCATTGTGTTACACTTTTTGTGCACCATTTGTACTTTATTGGTTGAGTTTGAGATTTATTAACATTAGTGGTATAGTACCTAATTCTCAACATTCGCGAATTAGTTAAACTTATCATTTCATTTGTGGGATAATAAGACATAAATAATAAACCCTTCGTCCCATAATTATTATTTAGTTTGAGTTTTTATTTCTAGTTTAAAATTGTACTAAAAATGAAATATCAAACTGGACAATAATTTTACGACAGAGGGAGTAGACGGACACAGAGTCACAAATTTGTATACAACTCATAGTACATCTCGTTTACTATTAATGTGATACACAAAAAACACTTCTCCTCCTTCAGGTTTCTGTTGCCCCTCGTAGTTAAGATAACAGTAATACTGCATGAATAAAATTTGAAAAGGTCCTTAAAATTTCGGGAGCTTTTCATTGTTTGGGAAGTTATTATGTACGAAAGTAGACTATTAACAGTGTTTAACATTAATTGATTTAATACGTTAAGTCAACTTACGATTACTGTTTTTTTTCCTGCTTTGGTGAACCAATATCAACTTGTCTGTTATCGGTTATGAGCAAGTCTTGATCATATGACATCATAGGATTAGAATTTATAGGTTCACACTCAACTTCACACGAACTAATATACATTGTTCAGTTAGATTTCGCAAGTGGCTAAAGTCTCCAATGGCTAAGATCCTCTCAATCTTAGGTACCAAATCAAATTCACGGTTATTATATTATTGTAACTCAATAACTACTACCTCCATTCCTATTTATTAGTGCAGTTAACTAACTTTACAAAAACCAATAAAACTAACAAAATTTAATTTTTTTGTCTAAAAAATATTGTAAATGCTCTAAATTATCCTTGATAATATTAATGAAGTGGTTAAATTAATCTTGAATTAGTTAGTTGTGAGGGTAAAGAGAAGAAAAAAGTCATAAAATGCTTTTTAGAAATATAAAACTTCTTATAAAAAGGAATGAAAAAAGTATATCCAAAAACTCTCATAAATAGGAATGGAGGTCGTAGGATTTAAAATTTTTTTTGGTTAAATTTCATTTATTCATTTGGAAGGAAAAGAATGTGGTTTATTAAGCTTAAGGGATATATGCCACCATTTCAAAGCAAAGTACCCGAAAATGATAAATAAAGAAAAAAAATTGAATATAATCATTGTCTAAAAAAAGAATTATATTGACTATTCTCATGGGATAGAGAATAATAAAGGAGTAAATTTTACATGATGAATTCCATTAATAGAGTTGTTACATAACCAACTGGTTTTTATTCAGTTGGCCACAAAAAGTCGTTTTAGAGTATTTCCTGGCCAGAGGTCTCAGATTCAAATCCCCCACACCCTCAGTGTAAGTTTATTCTCCTTTCCAAGGTGTTCGTTCTCTCTCCTTTGGTTATTAAAAAAAAGAAGAAGAGGGTTGTTACCCTTGACCTCTTGGAGTAATGCAATTAGTTCAGTAGTAATTAAGGGTTTTAGAAATAGATAAACCGTAAAAATGTAACCTTGAACTTATACTCTAGTCCACTATCATTCACGACTGTTTTATAGATGCTATTAAAAAAAAAAAATAGTGAACGCTAACTGCGCAATCAAACAGGTCGTTTTCCCGAACTAATTGCCCTCCAAAATATTATATAGGCAACCAAAATGGATTATATTAATTATTAAACATTAGTTTTATTATATTGGTAATTTTGTTTTATAATTTTTTTTTAGTTTCGTGTCTAATTAAATAAAAGTAGTCCTGATTTATTTTAGTATCGTACGTATCACTTCTTCGATTATATAGCAAATAATTGACTAGCGTAATGCATGGCACATGCGCGCAATCAAATTGCTGTTAAATGCTAGAAATTAATGGGATTCCTGGTATTTTTCAATATTGTGGTCCTTCGTTCTCAGGAATTGTATTTTCTTTCTGTTCCTTTCCATTTTATAATTTTTGGTTGCTGCCGTTGTTATTATTATAAATTTTGCAATGTGCAAATTTAATTAATTAATCCACATGCTCATCATGACCATCAAATCTTAATTAGTGAGAAGAGTAGCAATATAATCTTTTTTTTTTTTCCCTCAAGTAAACATCTTTCCAATTGGTTATACCCATCTGAATAGTAAATCTTATCATACATTAAATTTAAACGCAAGAATGAAAGTATATTACGAAAGCAATAGTGATGCACTCCTGCATTCAAAAGGTAATTAGAAGTAAAAAAATGGTGCAAGTTAATTGTTCTAACTTCTAACCCTTACCTCATGACCTTTGATCTCGGTTGTGGAAAAGTTGACATTGGAACGGTACAATTTTACTTATGTATTCTTTATTGTTATTATTATTATTTTGATGATTACCCATGATGAGATGCTATCTATTTTTTCTTTAAACCTAATCATTCATGAATTGATCAATTCATCCTTGGTGCCCTTGGTGGTGTCCTTTTGAAACCATATTGCCCACTACTCTTTCCACTAGTCACGCCTAGAAAATGAATATACACTTTCAAAATTGTGCCAATTTGATTTTTAGGTCAACTTTCTAAATCTACCACATGCCAATATTCATATTTACCATTTATATAATTATTTTAAGCAGCCACCTCCATTCCACTTTGAGGGCAATTTGCTACCTAAAACTTTTGATCAAATCAAATCAAAATCGTGGTACCGTGATGAGTCTGTATTATGTAGGTTCAATTTTGTTTTAACTTTTGGGTTATTAATAATCAGCTTGATCAAGTTTGAGTGCAAAACCAGCAATCAATTTATCTAAATGCCATGATAATCAGGTTTTACTTTTGTAATCAAGTTCTTTTTCGGGTATTTTTTTTTACTTTTTTTAGTCATATCCAAAGAAGGTAGAGAAAAACATAGATTTTTCGTTATATCTGGAAACATTTTGATTGTTTGAGGGGGAAGTACCGAAAATATCGTGTTATTATATTATAAATCAAACAACCTTTGGTAACATCCAGGACAAATAGACGCAGACGAAATTTTATTGTTTCTTCTCATCGTTCTAAAAAATTTTGTTGCCCTTATCTCGTGTAAATGTAATCAATTTTACTTCTAGCCAGACAATGACTGGCAACCGTGATGAAAGGAAGAAGGTGGTGAAAAAATGGTTTGTGGGTCAATATATGTTTGCCCTTTTTCCATGAAAGAAAAATTCTAAGGACAAAAACTTATTTATATATATATATATATATATATATATATAAAATCTCTGTCTCAAAATAAAAATTTCGTTTATTTTAGTTGAATTGACATTTTTTTAAAAGATATAATAATCAATAAGAGACTATTGACTTTGAAATAGTTTTAATAGTTGGTATATTTTTTTCACATACATGTAACTAGATTTATTCTATTTTGAGAGACTTGAACATGGCATATAAATTTGCAACTTAAAAAAATTAAAATTCGAGTAATATTAAGGACAATTGAAACAATCTTATCAGTCCATGAATTTGTTAAATCGATTGCGAGGTTTAAACAAATCTTAATTACAACATTTGCAGTTAGAAATTTCAAGTAGAAAAATTAATACAGTTCACTTAAGCCATTTATCCTCCTCATGAACATGAATTAAAAATATTATTGGCAGGAATATTAAAGCATACCACCTTTTATTCCAAATCTAGTTCCTATCTTGTTAAGGTTGGGGATTGTTTATTCTTCTAATGATGACAAAACCCTTTGTGTCGTACACATTTGTAATTCGAAAGTGTTCTATCATTAGCGATGGTTAATTATTTCTCTTATTCCAATCAATCAATCAATCTCTCTCCAAAAAACAATTAGGAAGTGCCAGACAAAATGAATTCTCCTTCCAAAATAAGACTAAATTGTTGGCTAAAGACAACTCCCTTTATTATTGGCTCATCATTTCTGGCATTCATTCTCTCTCTATATATACATTTCAAAAATAATAATTCAATTAACCAAAAAAGGAAAAATTAATAATTCAATTTCTAGATACTCATCATTTTAAAACATAAAATAAAAAAATTAAATACTGTTTGTGAATATGCATAATCTCATCTCCTTAATTGAGAGTTCAATAATGGTGGTAGCTGTTTGAGAATGATCAAGATTCTAGTCCGATTATAACGATACAGAGGACATGATCACATCTCCACACCAACGTTCACAAATTACAGACCAAAACTCATATTCCCTCCGTCCGAAAAGTATTGTCCAGTTTAGATTTTGGGACAAAGAAAATATGATGCAAGAACATGACAGTTGATATCTGAACTCACAACACTCGAACTCGAGCACAAAATGTGGAGTCTACACAGTCAATCATCCATTACAGTACTAGAACAAGTGTAAAATGGAATAGAGATTGAAAGAAAAAGAAAAAGAAATTAACTGAACTCTCAATGCTTCAGGGTAATGTTGGGCAAACCTTAAGCCCAAAATCAATAGGTTAAAACATGCTAATGTTATCTAGCATGATTATCAACTACCAGGTCCTGGGGTCATGTAACAAGCTATTTATTGAAACTGATGTTAGTAGTAGTTCTAGAAGTTAGTAAGCAGACAAACAGAAACTTGTATATGACTTCCAACACATCAGCAGATTGAATCATTGAGGGGCGCTTCGGCAGTGGTTCTTGTCTTCCTAACTTTGGCGTCGTCTAGGTAATTCTGATAGATGTAAGAGATGGAACCCCAAATCCCCAAAAGCATGGCAATGATCTTGACCCCATTCATTTTATCATGAAAGACTATAAGAGCAGCAACCGGAGTAAGTGCCAATGAAAGGGTACTGATGACATTAGAGAATAAGGATGACACAATGTATATCAAGCCCACAACGCCAACGGCACAAACCTGCCAAGCTACTCCTGTCCACACCAATGTCAAGACATAGGAAAGTCTTCCAGTGCTGAAAGTATTCATTTCCCCATGTAATGTTTTCCAATCTCCACTAGCAAAAAGACCAATGATGCAGATACCAGTGGCAACTACTGATGTATAAATTTGCATTTCCAAGACCACAGAAAACGTCTCCTTCTTAATGACTTTCTGGAAAGAAAGTTGCATAAGGGAAAGTATGAGAGAGTACAGAGCAGATGCGCCAAGAGTAGAAACAAAACCAATCACATACTTCCCCTTCGAGACTCCTGATGGTTCGGTGGAGTCACCATTGACACCAAGAAGAGAAGCAGATAATGTAAGAACCACCACAGAATTAAGAATCAAAATGGTGAACTTTTGTTGATTGATGAAAAACGAAAATATAGCATTTGAAACCAATTGTGTGGCACAGAGGATGGAATAAGTAGAAGCAGAGAGGTACAGGAGTCCGACTGAATATAACATATTATCCCCAGCAATTATTGCTCCAAGAACAATATATACCAAATAAACATGAAGACGAGAAGCTGAATTGGCTGTTTCTGTAGGCTTCTGAGAGGAACCAATTATAAAGTAAGGGATGAAAAGAATTGGGAAAGCGGCTGTTTGAAGCAACGTTGCCAACCATGTGCTATTTCCACCTTTATCGTAATAAAATCTTCCTAGCAGCACAGCTGCGAATTGACCAAAGAGAAGAAGTACAATATTGAGAGATACCAAAAGCCACCATTGCCAGCTCTTGAGCTTGGCAAATGGTAGATCAGTCGAAGAACTATCCTTTGTCAAAATCGGTTCTGCATTATCTGCCCAAAATAGAAAAAAATCTTCAGCATCAGACATTACCATTTAACCTTGAAAACAATTTTCTGAATTACTAGCCCAGATTCAAACATACAAAGGTTAAAAACCTGTCCGCAATATGTCATAAAGAATTCATAAACCAACCATGGCTACGAGGGACCGGAGCTCTGTCAGAAAAAAACTATAGTGGGTGAAAACTTTCGCATCCAAATAGTGCAATACTAAAGGGATGAATCCACGTACTAATTCGCCAACTCTGTAAGTTTCATTTCAAGTCAAACACATTTGTAAAACAGTTTTTCCCCACTTATCTAAGCAGATACAATTATTATTCTACTCAACTTCTGATATTACTTAACTAAGTCGAGCATGTTGCACAACCAGAAACTACTTGTGTTTTTACATTTAGGGTAAGTTATAACAATATGCACAGGACATTGTTTAAATCATCCAATTTCGCTTAACTACATTTCATTGCAGTCATTAAGATAAAAATGCACCTGACATCACCCAAAAGGCAAAACACTTCCTCCACCACTTACTAGTTCAGATAAGACTAACTCATTCTGATTAGAGTATTTACCATAATCAAGTTAGAGCATGTAGAACCCAAAATCTGACGAAGTTCTTTGTTCAAACTTTTGAAGCCTCTCAGGATTCAAATATAAACATAACTATCAACAGACCTCGCAACAAAGTTAGGAAGGGTGCTCCAGCAGTTAACTTTTTCACATTTGATTCAAAGCAGTCAAAGTAAACAAGCCCAAAATGACCCTCCGATGATCTTTCTGAAGTACCTATCTAAATGAACTCATTGTAATCTCTCGACAAAGGCTGATCAGTAATCTTTTCAGATGTAGGCCAACCAATGCTGTTACTCGAAATTTAGAGCCCTTCCTTATAACAGAGATTTTGGAAAATTTCACCCAAAACCAAAATTCATCAAAGACCAGCAATTCAATCTTAGAATATTAATCACAGGTACACACTTGCACAAAAATAAGTTAAATCCCGAGAACAAAGAAAAGGAAAAAAAAATCGATATTGGAGATATAACTGTAGGTAGACTCTACGGGTTACCAATAAACCAGATAAGGAAACAAGGTTAAACAAGGTTAATATCTACAGGTACTTCATGTTTGTAAGGAAACAAAGTTAGCTGGTCTATGAAGCTGGCTCTCTTCATCCACAATAAGTATTGAAACCATAGGATACAAGCCGCATCGCAAGACAAAAACACCTTTGCTATTCCAAAAAGAAAGACCATACAAATCGAGCAGACTGGTTTGGGCTTCTTTCTACTGCAGGAAGGGGAATACTCTCTAACCTGGCTATTCATTCACAAACTTATATGTCCATATGAACCCAGTATAATTTCTTCTTAGAATCATGCCAAAACCCCAACTTCTGGGGAACAGGTTACCTACCAAAATCATCTGATGCTAGTATTTAATTATGACTCTAATAAAGAATTCATTCGCTCCTAGATAAAAGAGGTTATCAATAGTAAATAGAAATCATCCCGTGCTACCAAGACAAAGTTGTGGACCTTGTGGGCAGGGGATAAACAAGCCAGATAAAACACACATCCACCAAGAGAGAGAATGAGATACCTGACATAGTGGAAGGAGAAACAACAGAGGCAGACGATTAGCAGCAGGGCAGGGCAGAGTCTGAGTAGAATCAAAAGCAAAACTCCAAGGGCTTCTCCAGGTGAAGGTTTCGGTTTTTAGTTCTTAGCCTTAGCCAACCTAATACAGAGTGAACAGCAAAAGCTGTCAATCACTACACTAATATGTCAAAAAATTCAACAAGCACGAAACATAAAGAACGGATAAGCCAATAATCAGCCGTGTCCGAAAAACAGTCTAAAACTAGTTGCATGTGTTCAGCAGAGAATAGCCCAACAATTTCCCATAAGAACCATGATAAAAACTCCTACTACAGCATTCCGTCAAACAGTTCTTAAGCAGCATAAATCACATAAACCACTCAGGGAAAAATCAATCAACAAAGCGATTACCTTTTGGAATGATTTCAAAAACGGTTTCGCCAAAGATGATTAATCTGGGCTGCAGGGAAGTTTTGGTGATGGGCAAAGTATAGAAGAAAGACGGAGCATGAAATCAATGGGATGGATTTTGCAGGTTGAGAGAGTGGTCATACATGAGCCATAGAAATCGCATCGAATTTGTCCACTCTTAATCCAGGTTGACTAAAAAAAACACTGCAAGAATCATTAGTAGTATTATTTATGATGAAAGACCATCATTTTTTGACCGCAGGTTTTACCGCCAAAGGTAGCATCTTTTCACGTGAATTTTTTTTTGGTGGTGTCCTTACGTGTGAGGACTCTTGGTGATTGCTTCCTAAGATTCAATTTTTCTTTTGTTCTTTGATAATTTGGTGTGTACAAACGAACACAAATCACATCTGAACTATTTCATTTTGAACTACTCCCTCTGTCCCGTCATTACTATCCGGTTTGGATTTTTACTTTTAGTTCAATTTGTATTAAAGATAAAAATCCAAACTGGACAATAATTTCGGAACGGAGGTATTTCATTTGACCTTTGTAGTTAGGAAATGTCTCATGAAAGAATCTCCCAACCTTGTTTGTCATGGGGTTCAAACTCGAAACTTTTGCTCAAGGAACTTCATAAGGATGCTGGTTTCATCATTGCATATAACGATGCATTTGCAGATTTTGTAGCAGAAATTGTGATTTTGTTGGGGCATTTTACTTGAATTTGCTACTTCATTTTAAACAAATCAGACATAGGGGCAGGGCAATTTGACCTGATGCAGAGATGGGAAGAAAAGAGAGCTAATGCCTAATAGGCAGTTTAAAGCAGAAGCGGTGATTCGAACAATCATAGTTGCAAGTAAACATGAGAACAAAACAAAAGCTAGCAATATACCAACACCTTGACCTATTCATCACTTTAATATGACACTTCTTTAATAAACATCATGAGAAAAGGGACAATACCCTTTCCCCTAGCTCAAGTTCAAATCTTCAGAAAAACCAAATTCCCCAAAAATCAATAACGTTAACTATTCTCGAGACCCATCTCCTTCCTCTTCAACTCCAACACCATGCGTTCATTCTCAAGTTTCATCCTCTCATTTTCAACCTTCATCATTTCCAATTCTCTGTCCTTTTTCCTGCTAAATTTTTGCCATTGAAAGCGCTCTTTCTCCAATTCTAGCATTTGAGCCTGAATTACAAGCTTTTGCTCTTCTAGCTGGACAGAGCGATAACTTATCCAATGCTTTTGTAGCATAGTTGATCTTGAGCCTTCAGGTAGCCCTTGGTTCTCGTCACCAAGGCCAGACGGGGACGATAAATTTAAACTTCTGTTGCAATCTAAAGCATTCAAGGTATTAATAAGAGAAATATCCTCAGGTCCGTGGCTGTGTTTCATCCTTTTCGAGGAACCATCAGAAGCCCCATATGCTATTCTATCCCCATGCGGGGCATGATTCTCCTCATAGTCATCATGATCATAAACTTCAAGATCCTGATCATCCTCGTCATTATCATCTTGAGAACTTCTTTTCATATTATTCTCATCAGTATCATCTCTGCTTCTGAGAGCCAAGCGCAATGAGCGCTGTAGTTCAGGATCCGGAGGCAAATGCAACCGATTCCCATTGTGGTACGAACACATTTCTTCATAATGTAAATGCTTTGAGCTCAAAATTTTCCTAACCTCCTCTTTTGCTTTTTCAGATATATGATCCATCATGTCCAGAAGCGTAGGATTCTCAACCACCTGACACGAGGTTCCCCTCCCCAGGATCTCATTAAGCCTCTTATACCTTTTGTTGAGGTCATTAAACTTGTCCTCGCATTGCTGAGGCGAAACAAAATGACCCCTTTCAGCCATTACCTTTGAGACTGATTTCCACTTACCCTTTTTCTGCAAATTTGCGCATTTCCTCCTGGCTCCACCACCATACTCTGCAGCAGTTTCCTCACCTATATATGAAACCGCAGTAATTAACAACCTAACCATAGTGTCCGTCCATTTCACACGCTGCCATGGAAATGCCTTCTTCCCTTTGCCCCCATCATTGTGGCCATCTGCATCTTCATTATGGCTCGGCTCATCCTCATCACTCACACATTTAACTTTCTCTCCTTTGTTGAAATGTGCCAAAGAAACACTTTGATTGTTTTCTTGCATGCTTCCAATTGTGAGTGGGAAATTGTCGTGCATTGTCTGATGAACCATTGACCCGTGGCGAGTGTGAGAGTGATGGTCTTGATGGACAGAAAAGGGATGTTGGCTGTGATGAGCGCGCATATCAAGACCTCCAAATGAAGAACCCCCAGGCATCATACTACCTGAGGATATATTACCTTCCATTTTCCCCTAAAGCAATGAAAATCAGAACCAATCTAACAGTATAATTCAGTGCTCAAATATGACAACTATTCTCCTTCTAACCCTCCCTAGACAGTGATTTCAAGCCAATCATTTGACCCAGACGCATATACGACAGCGAAAAGACCCGACTAGACCCCTTCCATACACAATAGCAAAGGGATCAAAAGGATCATCTGCCTAACTCTTGCCTAGACTCAAAGCACAAAAATTTACAACATAATCACAGCTCTAATTCCCTAATACAACTTAGCTCAAGGCCCAACTAAAAAAAATTTCCATCTTCAAGTCCCAAACTCAGCTCAGTCAACAGGCATGCCCACATAATAATCATTTCCCAAGATTTGTATCCCAAGAGTTTCATTCTTCTCCAAATAAATAACACAGTTACGAGGTCAAACTAAGCAATACTTACTGGTTTTCTTCAAGATCGCAGCTGACTTTCAATATTAACGGGTTCTGTTGTTCGAACTCTCCACAATTGTTGGATTTATCCTCCTTAACCCTGTCTTTCCGGTTTCTTCCTCGTCTTGGTTTCTTACAGAAGAATCTGAACCTCCTCCATATTTCTTGATCGGAAGGACTTAGACGCAACAGCTCTCGGGTTTGAGCAGGATTGAAGGAAATATAAATACTGTAGCAGTTGAAGATGAAGAAGGATTTGAGCTGAGGTCAAGATGTAATAATAATTGCAGTGATAATATTAGTAGAGGGAGAATTAATAGGTGGAAGATGGCCTGTTTTGGGGTTGAAAAGGGGCCGGAACTGTAGAAAGCGAGGCGGCGTTTGACGGAGGCGGAGGGCGGCCGTTCAACTAATGATGATGCGGCTGCGCGGAGTGTGTCGATTGAATAATGACGGCGGAGGTAATGATATATTAGGATTAAATTACCAGAAACCACCTCCGAATTTGTGAAAACTACATTCCCTCCCTCAGAAAATTTTGATTACGCCTTTGACCAGTCAAATGGAAAGGAGTCAACTGTAGTAGGAAAATAAAATTATTCTAGATTCAGGGTTTTGTCCAATTTTTTTTGGTTGGAATTGAATTTCATTTTGGATCCCTCCTATTAAGTTTAATTAACACATCTTCAATGACGATATTTTTATCTTTCACGAATCAATGCATCTTTTTTTTTCTTTCATAATACATAACGGAACTTAAACGGATTCATTTTATTTTTTCCAGATCAAAGATGGAGGTGATAACTATATATGTATATAAATAATTTAAGGAACTTGGACTTCTAATCTTTTGAGATTATAATACACAATATACTAATACTTGAGCTCAATCAACGCAACAAACTATTCTTGTCAAAAGAATACGATGAATTATGCTCCACATGATTTCCAGATTGTAAGGGGGAAGGCGTCTGTACCACATTTACGGAAGACCTCATTTTCGTGAATTTTATTATCTATTAAATAAACCAAATTGAGGCACTTTTGGATAGAAAGCGGGTCCGATCGCATTCTTTAATTGCATGTTGACACCTTTCTATTGATTGAGGAGCAGAATGGTTCTTTTGCGTTCCAACCTGGGCTAATGCATACTAGTAGTATTAAAAAGGAGGAGCAAAAAAAAAAAAAGGAGAAAGATATCAATTGTTTTATTTGATTAGAACATCCAACTGTGAAAAACTAGATTAGCCATAAGAACATCTTTTACAGGGTTTTGCATTTTAATGAATAACTAGCGTACAGGTTATATTTAGTTATTTACAGGGCAAGGGTTTTGCCCTCGTCTTTGAGACTTCAACTAATACAATTACAACGTTTTATAATTTCTCAGTGAAAATTTTTGGAAGTAATTATTCCGTCCCTCACCAGTATATAATTGTTGCAACAGATTTGCCATCTTTCTAGTCCAGAGAAAAAGCCCCATGGCAATACCTGAAAAATCATCAACAGGTCTTGTAATAAAGTCACAGATCATATGTAAACAACTAAACGGGATCATCAAGATGCTTAAAGAGAACAATTGAACAAGTTTCAAGTATACCTATCCTAGATTTGATCTTAAAATGAGAAGAAAAGGAAACAATGCATTTTTGGAATGAACAAGAAATGTACTCACTGCGAACCACAATCTGGGAAGCCAACGTGCATTTAGAGAATATACATTTCTTTCTAAACTGAAGCAAACCAACGTGAATGCCAACATCGCATACATTATGTGCCTAATGTAGACTGAAAGAATCAGGCAAGAGTTACCTGTCACTGAACTTCTCTACAGCATCCGAAGCATAAAGAAGTGTCTCATTGGCTTTCTCAAGAACCATGTAAAGCTCCTTTCCCTTTGTGGTCCGAGCAATCACCCAAGCATTGTTTTTAGCCCTGATGCATACCTCCATATCTTTCTCATTCCCTACACCATCCCATTTAACCCTACTCTTCTCCGAGTCAACCTCTTCTCTAAGCTTGCTCATAGCAATTAAAGATTCCTGTCAACAATTACAGGTCACGTCAGATCCTGAATTACTCAGCAAAACTGAAACACTTTCCTGGCAACGATGAAAAATCATAGAAAACAAAACCTGAACGGTTGACAGAGAAACAAGTTTTGATTGAATAGAAACCAGGCAATGGGTCATCACAAGTAAGCAAGATGGGCCTACAAAACATTTTTCTTCAATTGATTCAAGAACTAACCTTCATCAGGGTTGTTACTTTTCCAGGTGGAGAAGCTCGAGATATAGATCTATCCCCATCAATAAGCAAGTAGCGATACCCAGGGACATGATACGCATTCTCACCACCCCATCCACTTGATAGTTTCTCTTCAACTTTGATAATCTTAAGTGACAGCTGTAAAAATCAAATTTACATCATCGTGTACAAACAAACAGGTTTCTTAACTGTTCAAAACTAACAGAAACAGCATCCGGTTTTTCAGACCAACATTTGGCATTTAAGAACAGCAACTTATTTCTTTTGCTAAAACAAATCATTTGTCGATGGATAGAACATCAACGTAATACTTTATCAAGAAGGGGAGTATAAACATAACAACATTAGAAGATGAAGTTATTCAGGCCTTATGCACAGCCCATGGACAAAAAGATTTTTTAATATGAAGAATTTTGAACTTGACGTTTAAGGAAAAAGAAGATCCCAAAAACAGGGAGGGAAAAAAAAATTAGGAACTAGCAACACACCTCATTAAGAATTTGCTGCTTCAGCAAAGAGATCCCTTGCTCCTCATCAAGAATTGATGTAGCCGGAATCAAATATATTAAAGTGAGGCTCCTATGCTGGTAAGCACACAAATACATTTTCTCTTCAGTTTGATGAAGCCAAATTGTTGGTTTGTTGTGAGCCGATCTATCAGCAGGAGCACCCCAGTGATCAGCAACAAGAAAACCGTCCTTGCCTCTGGACCACTTTTCGATTTTTAAGGGCCTTACCAAATTATCACCACGATCTCCCAAAGAAGTTTCTCGCGAGCCATTTCGCTGATCCAGAATAGACTCCGGATTTCGTAGTAAAGGCCCATAAGAAACATTAGAAGAGGCATTTCCTTTGCGCAGATAAGACCAGGAACTCACTCCAGAAGATAAAGCACGTGGGGAGAGTCTTAGAACGGCATAAGTATACAGATTTACAGTGTCATCCTGACAAAGTGAAGCCAAAAATATAATTAGGAAAGAGAAGGAAAATCCTGTTGAAGTTCAGGTGTCAACCTGAGTGTTTTTCAAGAAATTCTAGTAACTCTAGACATCCAAGGAAAATCAAACTAATGAAGGAGGCAATTCTCTCGGCCTAAAAACACAAAGTAATCCTTTCCGGAAATAGACACAAAAATACTTCACCCTCTCTCTCAAGGCAATAATGGGGATATGTTCATGTTTTTGCCAGTGAAAACAATACAGGCAGAGACAGAGAGAGAAAGAGATCCACTCTTCCACTTATATTTCAGGTAAAAGTTCATGTTTGTACAGTGTGAGTCAAGAGAGAGTTAGGCACAGACAAGGCGAAAAACAAACATACCGGAGAGAGAGTGGAGGATACTAGCAAGTCCTGGAACATGATTAATGAGTAACATGACGCGCTCCCAGCACACGATTCCAATGCCTTCACAAGTGACTGCAAAAATGAGACAAAATCAGCCACACTACGAAACAATTAAGGCAGCAAACCACTGGACATTATTTTAGCAAGAAGATTACAGTTAAATTGGTTTATTCAGCAAACCATTGAATTTCACACCTTATTGCTGGATACAGTGGCCGAAAATTACCAAACAAATTTCTTTTTAGAATCTAGTAAACAACAAAAGCAGTTATCATATACAAGATTATATAATTGTCAAAGAAGAGAGGCCTTCTTATTTATGGACAGAATAGAGATGAGTAACATTTGAGGAAAGCATGAAACAACAAATAATGAAAACACCAAATACGCACAAGAGAATACATCTAAAGGTCGATAATAATTAAAAAAAAAAAATTAACTTCTGTTCAGAACGTAAAAATTGAAAAATTTGAACCACTAAACGCGTGAAATAGGCATTTAAAGTACTTTCACAAAGCTCTCTTCAGGAGGCAAACCAATTAGTCTCTAAAGATTCCATCAGCTACACAAGTATGGTCAAGTTCTGATTGTACCCACATAAATAGCAGACACTTATTTCCTTTGCTACAAGGTTCCTAACTGGTTTGAATTTTGGTTGATAGGTGTCTAAGTTAATTCCCTTCCCACATTGATAGCAAACTGGTAGAGTAAGTGATAGGGTGTTTAAGGTCGTGTGACAAGTCAGATACCATTTCCTTCCTGCACCAGCCAAAATTCTTTTCACACACTCAACTTTTATTGATATGGAAAAACAGGAAAGGCCAGGAGGTGGTGTGCATATACTAAAGCTAAAGAAGCCTCCAGAGACCATAATCCTGAGGTAATTTCCAAACATGTGAGTGAGCAAGAAAGACTAACAAGATAAGGAATTTCTTTGTCTGCAGATCATGATCACTTGTTTTAACCTAACACACACCCTCCCTCCCACAAAATAATCTACATTGTAAATTTACTGAAAGTACAATTCACAATTTACAATGCGGACTTTTTTTGAGGGACAGAGGAGTATAATGCAAGAACCTTTCATAGTCTAAAAGAAACTGTGCTAGCCGATTCCAAGAAATTTATGAAACTAGTCCCAGATACTTATAGTTTTATTTTATCCAAGATAAATTTCCTTCACCATGCCAATGAACTATAAATACAAGTTGACAAAAATGCCTTGACAGTTCTTCCTACTGCTTTTATTTATAAATGAGCACTTCATATTCACGATGCATTAGAATCAATGAGTAAGGAGTAAGCAAAAAGCCTTTCCCCTCATTTCCTACGTAATGGCAACAGGCACAAAAAAAGATGTATAAACCACAAAAGAGAGGAAGACAAGAGAAAACAAAGCCGCCTCTGAATTTTCAATCTCACAAAACATCAAATATCAATAAAAAACTGCTCTAAAACGTAGCGCAGCAGACCATTAAATAGCCAAACTCTAAAATACTAATAATAATGAAATCACCAAAAAGACCAGCTCTTAAACTTCCAGAAGACACCAGAATAATCAAAACAAGTCTTTCCATTCAACTAAAATTAAATTAATGTGACTTCCTACATCACGTGGTGATGAAATTCCCATCACGAAGATTGAATAATTCATAATGTCAAAAATATCCACTCAAGTCACAATTTAAAAAAGGAGAACTAAAGCCTTGAGAAATGAGCAATAAATTACCACACACAAACCTGAACTTCAAGGGCAGCCTCTCGTCCCATAGTCAATATCTGCATGGTTCCTCGCTCTCTCAGAGACTCACGGAAATTAGGGAGCTGAAGTTTCTTTGCAGTAAGGAAATCTGCCTCAAAGATAAAATGTATGAGTATTGTAGTAGACAGCCACGTCACATTGATCCTATTGCATAAATCAAATGGAAATCATTTGACACAGCCATTGCGCATTACCCCAGCAGCAAGAGTTGAATGGAGACCGCTTTTCAAATGCTGAGAATTTGTAACTCATAGTGATCTATTTAAATCTAAACAAACATTAAAAGTAATAAAATTGCTGGAAAATTTAGATGGCATATGAAGACGACTTACCACTCAAATAGTCCATGATGAAGTAACAGAGATGACTCCTGATAAGCCCTCCAGCAGGCTCCTTATCAAGCAATGCTCTTATAGATCCATGAAACATCACAAAAAGAGAATGCACTTCCTTAAGGAATGCTCGTAGTGCATCAGTCCGCCATATAGCTTCTGATTCTTTACCTTTCTCTACTACCTACAATTTAGTACCGGAGTAAGAAAGAACAGTTCAACAAAAACCTTCGGAGTGCACCTATAATTAAATCGAAGAGTTCGTATCTTTACTTCAATTAAATCTCAATGAAGCCGAATAAACTTGTTTGTTATATGTTGTAAACTTTGACGGCTTTGACACTTACCGTTATAAAACCAGATGCGGACGTTATAGTCCGGATGTATTTAAAATGGTAATTTCCTTTCAGGAAGATATCTTCCATAAGCAACTTACAACCATGATTAAGAAATTAAAATCAAGCATACCATTTCTGGCGCAACAAATCATATAGCAAGTGCTTTATCATTGCTAATAACCAAGACCACATGGCAGCCTCAACTGTAATACCCCCTTTGAGGACAAATTTATAAGTATCAACCAGAAACAGATTAAAAACACATACCATGACCATCCAGATATCAGGCTCAGCCTCATAAAACACATGTGAGTGCATCTCAGCTTCAATGACTTCACATGCTGCCTCCGGAGAGAATATTCTGCAAAAGAGAACCAATTTTACTAGCATCCCCGATAGGAAGATGAATTTCCTTATGAAAGAGTAAAAAAAAAAAAAAAAAAAAAACCATACTCTGTGATTTCAGAATCGAATACACAAATGCATATATACAGCACATTGGACACATAATATAACTTCATCGGTGATCAATAATGGTCGAATTTTAAGTAGCACAAAATTGCAAATATTAATGATCTACGAACCCCAGTCAGGAAAATGATAAAAGCACAAAAGGGGGTAGCAGCAACAAACCTCGTGAACGTGATCAATCCTTCACTGAGGCCGATGACGGAAAGTTGAGTCGAAAAGGGCAAATCAGCAGGGTAGAAAAACAAGATCTTGTCGAGCTCCTGCCCTTCATTTTGTCCCCTTCTCAAATCAAACACGCATAGTTTCACTGCATCGTTTATAACCACACTGGCAGATGACATACCCATCTAAACTCCTTAGACAAACCCTCTTCTGAGCCAAATTAATTCCAATTCGAATTCCTAAAAGTTTTTGTAGGAACGCATGGAGCCCAAGTCTAAATGCAACAAAATCTTTCACTTTTTTTTTTCTTCTTCCGGAACCGAAAGTAACAAATTCTAATCTGCAGCCCCGTTAAGCTAGAATTCTGATCAACAGACTGTTAGATAGATCTATTTGAAAAATTGAGAAGTCATCAGCTGTCTCTCTGAATAAATGTTTTCAGAAAAAAGAAAACGAGGCATCATCAATCTCTTCTTTCTAATATAGGGGCAAAAAAAGACACGTGAAATATGGGTGAGTTTAATGGGCCGGTCGTGGCCGGTTTAGCTAGTGTTTGTGTTTGTATATCATCAAATTGCCAAAGCAATTGTACACATCACATATGCTAACATTACCAAAGCAATAAAGCATTTGATCTTTGTGGTAAATTTACTATTTCCATCTTATGGCAAATTTACTATTTCCAACTCAAATCCAGATAAGCCAGCTCGTTGGATCGACAATGGTGTTACTTGTTCTTGTGAGGAAAAGATACCAATGTTAGTATCAAACTTTGGGTCAAGATATGAAGTCCTGTTAGTCTTGATAATTGGTGTTAGTGGTTTGTGATGTTGCAATTGGTGCATTATCTGAGTGATGAAGTTATTCTGGTCATGAAGACGAAAACATCTTCTCTCTTCAAATTGCGCCAATAGCTTTGGCAAGAATTCAACATTGAGCTCGATGAGAATGCGTATTGAAGTCATGAACAGTTTGAACAAAACCTCTCCAACAAATCCAATATCAATTCAATTGATAAAACAACACCATTCGATGAGAGCTTCATAAGAAAAATAAATCCTGATATACGGAGTGACCAAAATTCGCCAGTACAAGGGCCCGAATCTGAACTGCGGCTACAGACCAACATTTTCGTACATTAATGATTTTAAAAACTACCGCTAGTACTACTTGACTAAAATGAAAATTTCCTCAGATTCGAGTTCACAACCACACCAAAACAAAATACAATCCTTTCAAGCACAAGGGAGTACTTTACAGACACTACGGGGCTCAATGGAACTATGAGCAAAAGAAGCAGAGGTAGTAATCGCCTTTCATCAAATTTATCAACAGGCACATCCTCCTGATTGTTGTTGGGCCTGATTAGTATTTGAGTTGGTAGTTCTAAGATTGACATCAACCATGTCGTCTTGCTTTGCTGAAGAAAGTGTCTCCATTCCTGGCAAGGCTGCAGCAATTTTCCTAAAAAGTGCCTGCCAATTGATTGAAAACTAGTAATTGAACACACAGTATCTGAACATAAATCACCAACAGGACACAGCTAGAAATAGCATGCATACCGCTACAAAACTTCGAGGACGTATTTACTCACAGCATGCAAATTACTACCAAATCTCAGTTCAAAATAAATGCTGTTTAGAAAATCTCAATTGGTATAAGTTGAATTACCTTTATGTTGAACCCAGCCTTGGCACTAGTTTCAATGAACATAACATTAAGATCACGAGCTTTGGCTTCTCCTTCCTCTATTGATACTTGCCTAAAATAAAAAAACAACCAAGAAACAGTTTTGATCAAGGAAAAATTCCGAGACATGAGCAATTTGTAAGTCCAAGGCACCAAAAGTTCAATCCATAAGCACCATCGTGAGGTCTTCGGCAATGATAATCTTAACTCCAAAAAACAGCATTTTAGGTAAAGTGTATGCCCATGAAAACCATAATGCATCTGACATAGTGCACACAGTATCATACAATCATTACACAAAGAACCCCTTTTTTGTAACTCAGAAAAATAAATCCTCCACTTAAAGCTAAAGGACAAAGAGAAGTATTGCACAACTATGTTTTGGGCAACATAGAATCTCACAACTGTACAAGCATCCAACACGCAATCCCTACGTTGTATATTAAATGCTCCTAAAGCCTAAATGATGTTGCTGCCTAATTCAGTTCATATCACATTGTTTTCCTTCTCTGCTCTCAATTAACAAAAATGATGGAAACTATTGCTCAACTACATAGTAAAAAGATCAAATGGAAAAACTACTATCTCCGACCATTTCCTTGTGTATAACACTGACATTTATCCTGACTCCCGAGTGTCCATAAAACAGCAAGGCAAGTCCTCATACTCAATTAGACCACTATTTTCTAAAACTTCACTTGTACGGGAAGCCAAGTACGCAAAATCAACTCCAGAGAGCACTTAATGAAGTTTCTAAAATGCAACTTTAATTTGGCACCAAACAAATAAAAACAATAATTCAATTACCTCTTGTCAACCAGATCAGTTTTATTTCCAACAAGAACAATGATCACGTCACTACCCCTCTCAGTGCGAACCTCCTCAATCCATTTTGAAGTGTTCAGGAAGGACTGTCGGCCTAGACCACAACCATCAGACGAGTCAGATTAAATGATCATAGTTCACTAACATATCAAAAAACTATGAAATTCACGTAATCAGAATCAAAGTGAAATAATAGTTAGCATCAAACCATAGTGCCAAAGACAAAGTGATCAGTACTGCAAGACAATATAACCCACACCATAACAACACAAAACAGCTAGCGAACACAAGAACCAGAAGATAAGTAAATTGTAATGGCCAAAACATATGTCCAGATACATACTAGCAACATCATACACGATGACTGCAACTGAGGAATCCCGAATATAACTTGGAATAAGACTCCTGAAACGTTCTTGTCCTGCAGTATCCCTGTAACCAACACAATAAGAAACAATCAAGCCATTGGTTAAAAAAAACACCTAAAAAGTTCATTGACATAAAGGCTGTAAGGAAACAAATCCTAAAGCAATGATGTGTCTCCAGGGCATAACAAGTTTCACGTACTTACGTTTAAACAAATTGCTCATAATAAAATATTAGCATCAAACTAGACAGGCAAGTTACTCTCAAAATCTTAGCAGAGGTGATGCACTTCGTCATACCAAACAGAAAATCACTTTTCATCAATACAGACTTTAGGAATAAACTGCCGTGATATCATACAACTAAGATGATTTCCACAGTTACCTCATAGATGACAACAAAGCCAACCAACAGACATCACCGAATGTAATTTATCAATACTTTTACCTCCTCTATGTATATACATATATATATGTGTATACATGTATATATATATGTGTGTATGTATTGTGCTACATATACATTAGATCATAAAATCCAGATAGTGAACTAGCTAGTAAAGCGAATAAGTCAGCGAACATACCAGAGCTGCAATCGTACAGTTCGATCTTCAAGGTACATTGTCTTTGACAAAAAATCAATACCAATTGTAGCCTGATTAACAATTTAGAAAACAAGAACAGATTTAGTAAGTTATGTTGGCACAAAACCATAAACATTCTCTTTCTTCTTACACTATATAAGAGCGAAAGGACTTAACCCACCCATGAGCACTAAGTAAACAAGAGAAGAAATGAACTACGAACAACAAAAAAAGAAAACTACAAAAAAAGAATAAAATAATGTCATCCAAAGTATCCACCAGATAAAACAGCTTTGGAAAGGCTACAGATAATATAGAAGAACACTCATATTAGAGTCAGAACAAAACCATCAAAAAATACGTGCAAAGGATAAATGTTATTTTCACAACCCAAACTGAACCAATGAAGCTGAAACTATCACCGAGCCATCTGATCAGCCTAGGAGTGGGGATTTGGGGGAGAGGGGGAAGGAGTAGCTAGTCTCAATGGGTTCTTCAGACCCTTCATTTTCCACTGAACTTCTTCTTGGCGAGGAAAAGCAAGCACTAGCTATTCAACACGCTTTCCTTTGCTCGAAAAATATATTCTACCATACTACCTAATTTGGGAAACAAGAGCACAGTTACACCCACTACTCCAAATTGACATCTACTATGAATTACTGCAAATGAATCTCACGAGAAGCCAATTCGAGAAACACATCTTTGGAGTAGCTCCTCCTTAAAGAGGATACGAGAGTGAATAACTCTGCAGCAATCTCAAATATAAAATGAAAGAAAAGAGACCACACACAAGAAAATCATATTCTAAAAGTGGCAAATGCGAAACTAAATAGCTAACGTTAAAATTTAGAAGAAGGTATTTTCTGACTGACTACCGAGGTTAATCTTCATGCTGCAAAAATACCAATCACCTTGCTCAGAGATATAACCTGATGCTGAAATTTAACACTACACGCGTTTTTTTCCAGAAATCCAATCGGACATTCTTTGCAATTTTTTTTAAGTGAAAAGCTGCAGACATACAGACAATTTCGGATCCCTTCTCCTCAACCTTTTGATAGTACTCTCCCTCAAAACATGTTTTTTGCCAAACCATCATTGCCCCACAAAATTGGAGAGAAGGAGATAAAACATTGATATAAGGCACAGGTACCCTTGAGGCCAATCAATCATGGATTTATGGGGAAAACCCTCAGCATAACCTCTCGGCTACAGATGTTTATGATGTGATATGCTTCATGTTCCACAACACTATTCCTATCTATACCTTGAATAAACCTCACTAATCATACATACAAGAGAATGAGGATTTCCTTTTCACATCCGGATAAGTTATCATTCAGGTCACAGATTGAAGAAGTAAACTCATAAGGTAGCTACCCACATCAATGCCTAAGTTGCAAAACGGACAGGTCATTATCATAAACACCTTCTAAGAAGAGGGCATGTTGGCAGAGCAGAATAAAATTCTCAAACCATAAGACGTAGCAAAGAAGCATGGCAGTTGACAAGCGTAGGGCAGGTAAAAGACGAATATGGTCTTAACAGGCTGGCATAAATAGAGGAAGCTGACTACATAAATATTACACAGCATGTACCATATGATTGTAAGGTTTACAACGATCTGAGGATCAAACGAACCAAACAAAGAACAAGGAATGGATAACAAACAAAAAAGGTAGAAGTTCTCAACATAAAATCATTCTGTACCAATTACAGTTGGAGATGGATGGGAGGTAACTTGCAATCATCGGAATATTACACTCATTCAACTGGAAACAATAACTAAAAGTAAAAAATAAAATTCTAAAACCCAACCTCAAGTAATCAGTATTTTGTAAGGATGAAAAAATATAAATGTGACTGCTGTGAAAATTTAAAAAATTTCATAAAAAACAGCCATGTCCCATAACAAGATAATGATAGCCTCCCCAATTCCCTCAGGCTCCTCACGTAACAATTCATCATTGCATAACATCTATTCAGATCCACCCAAAAGAAGCTATCTTCTGAACACAAACCAATCAAACAAGCTAACAGAAAAGAACAGCAGTAGATTAAGAAATAAGATCAAACACAATAACACGAAATGATCACTCCACCGGTAGTAGCTAATATAGCCACAGAACTTCAATAATCAAAATGTTTGGGCGGCAAAACGCAACGCAGCAACCAAATCAGATCGAAGACACACATACCACAACTTAAATAGCGGTTACTGTAGGGAAACCGACACGATATAAGAGCTCTGATCAATGGAAAAATTACCTGGTAAGTGTTATCGAATTTATCGTACATAAATCGAGTGATGATACTGGTTTTGCCGACGGATTGATCCCCTAAGAACACCAACTTGTACTTGGCCAACGCCGAAACCGGAGCCATCAATCTGATCTACCGAAATTACTCCAAAACCGAGATTAGATGTATAAAATTATCCAAAAGCGCGGGATTCTCCGACCAATGCGATCAAGAGATCTCGCCGGCGAATGATACGAGAAACAACAGGCGAGACTCCTTTGATAAGTGTGTGTGTGTGTGTGTGTGTGTGTGAGAATAAGGTGGTTCGTCGTAGTATAGTAGTAGTAGTAGGTTTGATTGGAAATTGAAAACCGTTCGGTGAAATAAATCTGAACAAAAAAATTTGTGAAACCTTGTAGCCGAAAAAAGATAATAATAAAATAAAAGAAAATAAACGATGAGTTGTTCCACATGACTTGACGGTGTAATTAACTTGCTGGATTTTCCTTTTCTTTTCATTTTCTTTTTATTTTTATTTTTTTTTGTCTTATTTCGATTTCTCTCTCGAAATAGGGGGGAAAATTTAACTTTTTCTTTTTTTTTTTTAAAAAAAAAAACTGTTTTTACATCTTCATAAACTTATAAAAATCTTTGTTATATGTAGGTGGTCACAAATTTGATCAAATCATATCATGACTCTTGTGACCCTAATTAATAATGCAAACCTTTTTAAGATTCTGATTTTGGTGGCATGATCATTTTAATTCTTTAATGCCTTTCGCATGTATGAGAATTGAAAAAGAAAAATTAGGTAAAGACCATAAAATCCACCTGTAATGATTCAAACAGAGCCCTCGTAGTATTTGTTTCTTCTGGTTCAAAACGGCCACGGGTAACTAAAAATCGTGGTAATTGGTAGAATCATGTTATAAGGGTGAGTAACTATTTTGAGATGGCAAGAAAACTACATGAACAAGTTTGATATATTTGGAAATTAATGGATGTTGGGGCGGAGGGTTAAACTCCCCTTCAAGTGTTTGTTTCCAAATTTTCAAGATTCAAATTTTCGCATACCCACACTCTAAGACTTTTTTTTAGTGTGTTGAGAAGGTAGCTATAACATCATATCAATAATACCCGCTTCGAAGCGGAGGGTTAAACTCCCCTTCAAGTGTTTGATATTTTTGATAAATTGAAAAAGAGAGGTTTCTCTCACAATTCCAAGGTGTATTGAATTTCGGTTTTTAAGATCCTGGTATTCGAAGACTAAATGGATCCTTGAGAAACTTCTCATTCCGGACATTCTTAGACTAAACGGTGTTAAAAGGGTTACGTGGTTTCGTGTTAGAGTTCATCAGTTTGAATTCTAATCTGGAGGCTTTCGCTACTGCGTCAATAATGTCGCAAAAATAAAAGTACTGATACCATGCCGTAACTTCAGAAATTCAGTGACCTTTTTTTCAAAGATGTTTTTGAGCGCGAATGTTAACAGTTTCAATAAAGGTGGAGTTATTTTGATGTGGCCTTAATGACTAGTCTCGTACCCTATTTTATTTCTTTTGGCAAAGACTTCGCATTTCAGTTCGTAGATTATTTTTCCCCAGAAAATGAAATGAGTTGGCAAGCAACATGTGTTGCATCTTCTGTTTATGGTTGGAATGGCTAATCTAAAGGACACTGACTATGAACTGTCTGCTGTGCAGCATTATCAACCTTTTCGAACAAGTTAAATAAAACAACCTCTCGGTTAGCTGAATTCCAACTGCAGTCTGCATCAGAGGTAGGGCTTCTATTTCTTTATGTGTGATCCATTTGAAATCGTTTGCTGATTACACATCTGTCTGTCTCTTGAATGAATAGCAACTCCGAAAACATAAATTTGTTGATTTTGTGCTGCCCGATTAACTGCATGGTTCTTTATTCAGCATTTATCGTCAAGTTTTCTCTTCTTTTTACCGTCAACTGAATCACACTACTGATTTTTTTTTTCTTTGAATACCGTATTTCTAAGTTAGTCCTCACCGGAATCACGGTTCTCCTCTTAACATTTTGTAAGGTTCCTTTTTAGTTATACAGCAGCGAAAGTGCTACGATAAGTTTAATATAGCCTGTTATAGGGGAAAAAAGTGAACAAAATGCGGAAAAACTTGAGCCTATAAACCTCTGGGTTCGCCGACTCCCCATATATTTTAAGGTTCTGCTAGAAGGAATCAAAGATGCTCCAAAATGGAGAATGGTAACGTATGTTAGGCCAGAGAATGATCATGTAAAATCTGAATTAATGTAAGAGCTTGTAAAATCTGTATTTGGGTGTCCTGTACGTCTTGAATGAATCTCCTTCCATACACCAAACCAGTAGAAGGAGATACTTGTTACTAAATTTTGTGTTTGCATTGCTAATAGTGATCATATGATAAACAGGAAACAGTACTTTGAAATCTCATGGGCAAGCTTAAGAGGAATGGTGGAGCCTTCATTCGCTGAGAGATCATACAGACAAGGTAGAGAGTTTCCAAAGGTGGTCAACTTAAAGTTTTTCGACTGCATATTAAACGAAGGTGAAATGCTTTACATTCCTCCCTAGTGGTGGCATTACGTGAAGTCTCTTACTACCAGTTTTTCAGTTAGCTGTTCGTAGGGGTGACTCAGCAAATTCTTCAGCAAAATAAATAAAAATTCAAAGAGTTTTCTTTTTGTCGCCTTAAAAATGGTAACAAAATATAGCTAGATATTACTCTAGAAATAATACTATTTAACTAGACAAAAAATAACATTTGAATAATTTCAAAATAAACTAATTTTTTTTTTAAGAAAAAGGCAAATGCCAAAACCAACCTAATTACTTAACCAATTGAATAGAGGATTTGGAATTCCAATTGTAGTCAATTTCATGATTTTACCAAAAAAAAAGGAATTGATATTGAATTAGAATATCTTGAATGCTAGTGCAATCTCAAAATATTTTAATGTCAATGCCAAGCAACCGAACACACCTAAAAGATCATGGATTGTTGAATTTGCCAACTTTTGATACTCGTCTTCCTGCAAAAGAGAGCTGCACAAGCATTATCTAACTTTACCAGAAAATGTACATGTTAATTTTTCAGTCATTTAAAATAAAATGTACATACTAATTACTGGTGATTCTTGTTCCTCCTCCCCTAACCATTCAGAGACGGATCTTTCAACGTTTATAAGTGACCATTAGTCATTTTCATTATAGAGATGGTGAACACAATAAAAGGTCAACAGTTTTCTAACTCCAGGCGAAATCCAGTTGACCTAAACCAATCTTCCATAGCAAGCACTAATAATCATAATGCTCAATTTATCAAAGACCTGATAACTATGCTAATCTCTTTCCTGCCGTTAGTCATAGTTCCAGCGCAAACTTAAAAATGCCAAAACAAATTCAATATGGGAGAAGGAATTTTAGATATCATACCTGTAATCAATGGCTGCTGGGCCTTGAGATGCGTCATTGACGAGGGACTTGCCCCTTGAAGAAAGATTTCTGCCATAGCTGATAAAAGAGCCAGGGCCCGGATGGAGATGATGAGTTATATTGGAAAGGGAAGAAGCTAAGAGCGGTTTCTCCGTGGCGTTGGTAGTAGAATTCATAGATTTCCATATTGAAAAGGTTCTCCTTTTTAGCAAAGACAAATTTGTGAGAGAACCCATTCGCTTGTTTAATTTATGCCGAGCTTGTCAAAACGACGATCTGGTGGAGGTCTTTTCAGTTTTCAATTTCCAGGTTGATTTTTTAATTTCATTTTAGCACATACATTTCGAGGGATTTTCATTTTGCACCTACCTTTTTACGCCTTATTACAAATTTATGGACTTGTGCCAGATTTTATACTTTCTCGTCCCTCTAAGTCTAAACTCTTAAAGTGGAAAACCTTCTCTAAATCGTTGTTGTCGCCATTGCCCTCCACACTCCAGAGCCGAATTTACAGGTAAAAGCCGCCCCAAGCACCTCCAAGAATGGCATCGGCACTGAGATCGGCCATTTTTCGGCACATTCGAGTTCCAGTTTCTGTTCCACGAACGCTGGCCCTTAATGGGTTTAAGCTCGGCGGCGTTCGATTAATGTCGTCCGGCCACGATCACCTTGAGAAAGAAGAAGTCATCGCAAGAGTCCTCGACGTTGTGAAGAGCTTCCCGAAAGTTGACCCTTCTAAGGTCTTAATTAATTTCTCGATATATATTTTGTTCATCTGTTTTTCTGCTCAAATGATACTTTTACATATTACATCGACATTTTGTTGCCATTACTTGCTCACTGAAATGTTTATGGTATTGAAAATATAGAATCTGATTTCAGGCAAATTCTGTTAGTTGTTGTTTCATTATTCTAATTTTATTTTAGGTGTCTAAGCTGCTTAAGTATGACAAATGGAATGTCGTTTTTGTTAATTCGGTAAATTTGACCTTTCATTTTTTCTCAAGATCTTAGGGTAAAAAGGACTAGATGATGAGGATTTATCTGGGCCTTATGCTAATTCATCAATTTTATGAACTATTACAGTCGATTCCTCGGTATTAATCAGTTTTCGAAGCTAATGAGCTGTATGTGAGTAGGATGCATATCAACTAATTCGTCAATTTAATGAACAATTGTTGTGGATTCCTAGGTATTAAACCGGCTTTTATCATTTAAGTAGGATACTTGATATATTAGTCCCATAGATGAGTCAATGGATGATTGATCTTATTTGACGTCATTTGCTCTGGTTAATTATGAATGTTGTTGACTTCTGGGTTTTGCTTTGATATTGCAAAATGGCAATGACTTGAAAATCCTTGTAGAATGTTTCTTTTTTGAGCAATTTGAGGCATGCAATCAGTTTTGAGTTTAGACTATACTTTTGACTCATTGTGTTTCCTGTGAACTTTATATTTGCTATGTTCGTATCACTAAAACTTTTACTCTATAATCATCATGCAGTGTCCAATGTTTTAACTTGTATCTAGGAGTATGAGTATATATGGCTATTACTTGAACTTCCAATAGGATAATATGGTTTATACAGATAGAAATAATCCCTTAAGGAGTTGTATTGGAACTGTGAATAATCACGACTTAATCTGCTACTCCTGGTAAACTATAGCTACCTGCGGATCCACAAAGATCCTTTTCCCTATCTGTGAAACTACATTATCCGCAACCGCGTCATAACCATTTTTAAAGCTGTTGAGGTTCTGACTCTAGTTAAGATGCTGTCAGGAGGTTTTTTTTTTTTCCCCTTAGTTGTTGGAATGTGGCTGGTTTGTCCTTCGACATTGGATTTTATCGGTTTCTGTCTAATAATATTGTTCATGGAGATGGGGGAAAAAAACACAAAATTTCCTATACTTGTATGTTTCGATTATTGTTCAGAGCTACTGAATCCAACCTTTCTTCGACACTTTTTGGTGTTAGGTGTCAAAGGTGACTGTATCTCTGTTTGTTGGTGCTGCCAGTCCAATACTTTTATGACAGAAAATATATTGAACCATTTTTATATGCTTAGACAGAAAGAAGAATTTCAATAAATGATCAAACTTCTATTCTTTAAGTAATTGAGTTTTCTGTTATCCTAATCCTTGGTATTATGGTCATGTGATGGTCTCTGTGCCTCAGATGCTTTGGTACTATATATGCCTTCTTTCTAAATTACAGTGCAATAGTTGGGCAAGTAGGACTTGGGTGTTTTGGAGGATTTCTTTGTTTTGACATAAAAGTTGTGGATGCTCTAGGGAGGTTTCAATTTTGTTCTCTCTTATTTCATTGACCTTTGCTCATCTCCCTCTTTCTCAGTTGCAAGATAACGAGCATAAAATAGCATTAAAAATCTTTTGCTGCTTTAGTGCAAGACACTCATTCTTGATTCTTGTATTTTTTACACAAAGTTTTATGTTTTTTGAAGGAAGTAACTTAAATTGGCCAGAATTTCGATGAATATAGGCTTTATGTGAATCTAATGAATTGAATAGCATCAGGAATTTTACAGTGGATATGCTGATGCTAGATACCTTATTTGTGTTGTAGAACTTTGCTAATTTATTTTTCTATGTACCTCATCGGGTTATCAATTACGTGAATTACACTTTTCAGTTGTCACATTTGTTGTTATTAGTTCAGAGAATAGAACATGTCAGTTGTTAGGACACTGGAATAATTGATTGCTGTTTCTATATCTCTGCAGGTGACTCCTGATGCTCATTTTCAGAAGGACTTGGGCTTAGATAGTTTAGATACGGTGGAAATTGTGATGGCCCTGGAGGAAGAATTCAAGCTTGAGATCCCAGACAAGGAAGCTGATAAAATCGATTCCTGCCCTCTAGCGATTGAATATGTTTCAAACCATCCAATGGCTGGTTAGACTGTGCCAAAAATCCTTTTGTTTTATTTTTATTTTATTTCAACTTTCTTTTGAAGACAATGTTTCAAGTTTCAACACCACCCCCTTGGTTTGACTGGTCGAACAGCTGTAGAATTCTTCAATGCCAGAGTATTGAGAAATAAATTGACTTTGTTCATTAAGATTTGTGCCTATAGATCTGGGGGCTTGATGCCTTTGATAGTTAGGTTGATGGAGTTTGAATGATTATCTACTGTTACTTTCATTTCTTCTGTTCTTACGATTGCTCACTTCCTCAAATAATGGGATGGGATTAAATCATGAAAATCTTGGTGTTGTTGACAGTTGACATGGGTTAAGTTTCCAAATTTGATCGCCCTCCCGGTAGAAGCCAAAGCGTGCTGGATATCAAAGTTGCCTTTGTTCTCGTATCTAAATTACCCTTGAATATTGCAGCCGAAGTCTTGTTTCTATTCCTTTTCTTCTTTTTTCTTTTCTTGCTTATTTGTTGATATACAGTATACCCTCGTCAATGCTGCAAGATATTTGGCGGGTGGGTGTTTGGGGGAGGGGAGATAATAGTGAAATAATAAAACAACGGTAGTTAATAAGTTAATCAAGTTACAGCCTTGCAGGTCGTAGAACGTCGAAGCCACGGCCATGGATCAAGAACAGTTTCAAACTTTAGAATTACAAGTTGCAACTTGCAAGCAGATAAGCACTATCAAATCAAGTATACAGTATTTACAGACAAAAATTTTAGGTTATTGGGGAAAAATCAATATAATTTTAATGTTGAATCGGGATCAACTATAACAGAAATAAAACATTGGGTCGAACTTTACTTTGAGGTCAAGGCAATAGATATGAATAGTCATCGACTTCCGGGAACGGGTAGAAGAATGGGACCTATTATGGAACATACAATGCATTACTGACGTATGATCATTGCGTTTCAACCGGGTTATTCTATTCCATCTCTTAGAAAGAAAAGAATTTAAATCAAAATACTTAATAGCATGGCGATACATTTAGACAAAACTTCTACCCCAAGTACACGCAACGGAACCCAATCCACAAAACAATTTGATCTATGGAACAATGATGTAGAGATTGGAATGACACAATGAAATAGAAATCGGAATGACGAAGAGAAGACATTATAAAATAAAAACCAGTTCAGCTGTCTTCATCATCGAATACGTTTAACAGAAAACTAACAGAACACGGAAACTTTTGTAAGTCACTTTGGGAAGGTAAACCTTTCCAAACAAATTTTTTATTAGTCATTCGCATTTTCAACTCGTGCAGCTGCTCGGGCTTCTCTTTTAGTCAACCCTCTTAATCTAAGCACTGTAAAATCCTGTTTCCAATTCCTCCTGATGGCAAAGTCCTCTGATCTGAGAAACCTTCGAGCCTTCAGAAGATGCTAGGCGACGATTCTGGCAGCAGCCATACTCCGATGATCTCGGGTTATGATCGTCGAAAGCTCAAAATTGCTATGCGCATTTTGAGGCCTTTGGTAAGGTCTTTATTGAACTGGGCTACTGATTTCCAACAATTGCATCAGAGGCTGCTGCATGGAGAGTATTTTAGCCACATTTATGCATGGTTTACTAAAAGTGAGAGAGTTGAGTCGTATGGTCAGGTGATTTAAGATGGGAGATTATTATTACTGTGTTCGAGGCCTCAATTCTCACTGGGATGATCTTTTTTTTCTTTAAAGGTGGAGTCCAGTACTGAAGCAGATTTTTTTATTATTATTAAAAAAAAATTTCCGCTAAAGTTAGATGTTAATATCTCAAAAAAATTATCACGAAATGTTAAACTCTCGCAATGATAAATATACATTTTTTATAAAATATTTTGTACCATTTTTTTTTACTTTCTGTTTGTACTTGGCCTTTTAAAGAAAATGTATATTTTAGTATAATTATATTTTTAATTTTACGATATAATCTAAATTCTGTTGAATTATATTGTAATAATACATTAAAGTATACCAATAAAAAAATTTAATCTATGCTAAATGTTTTATTTTTTGTGCAAAATTAGGTTTAGTTAAATAATCTTATTTTTTAGATTGAAAAAAAATAGATTAAAAAAGTAATATCATTACTGTTAAACCATATTATTAAAAACTTAATATGTTTATGTAAATCAACCATGAGTTGCGAATATGCATATCTATAAATTTGCACAATAGTGTTTTAACAATAAATAGTTTTTTTAAAAAAGATTATATAATATATTTTTATAGTTATGAGAAATAGTGAAAAGAGATAGAAAATAGAAAAAAATAGATAAAAAGTGAAAAAAGACGATTTGGTTATTTTTACAAATTTTTGTGGTCATTTTTTAAATTTTCAAAACTATTAGGGTATTTTTTATAATTAAAACTAATAAAATTCCGTTAATTTAAACGGAAATTCGCCAATTGGACAAAATCGGCTAACGGTTGGATAGCTTAGGGTGATATTGGCTAACCGAAAAAGAATAGGGTAGAATTGACAACGCATGTTAACATTTGGGTAGATCGGCCAATTTTTCCTTAAAAACTGTGACAGCCTAATGCATTCTCTGATACAGCTTTCGGTCCACTGAATAATCAGACTGAAACAATATACCAAGAGACATTATTGTGGGGGAAATTTTCTCTGTGACATTAATAGCAGGTGATCTGTTGGTAAAGTTTCCATCACATACTGAATTCCTGGGGCAACAATTTGAAGAGGCAAGCAATACATATCCAGCTTCATAATTGATTTGATTTTGGCTGGTGAAGGTCCACTTTGGTATCAGAGTATAAGCATCCTTCAATCAATATACATTTTCATGTCCGCGGTTGGTGTTCCTCGTCTCAATCTTGTGCCAGACAAGCATTGTTGCTCGAGTTGTTGAGCCAAATTGTTGGCCAAGCTAATGGGAGTAGCGAGACAACAGGAGAAGATGTACCTCTAAAGATTTATCAGAATTTGAGCGGAAGTAGATACTTAATTGTGATTGATGATATATGGAATGTCCAGTTATGGAATGAGTTGAAGGAAACTTTTCCTGATGATCACAATGGGAGTAGGATTTTATTCACTACTCGAAATCGTGCTGTGGCCTTGAAAATCAATAGCATTGCTTACTCACTACCGCTTGCTTTCCCATAAAGAGAGCTGCGAACTATTGCTATTGAAAGTATTTGGCAATGAAAATTAGAGTTGTCAATGATCTCGAATCAGATTGCAAGGAACTACCGCTTGATACAACTCTTGTTATCCGAAGGTTTTCTGCAGGGTCTAAACCTTGGACTGAAGAGTTTCAAGCAAGAAGCCGAGGCTTGGTTACAAGAACTAATTGACAGGAGCCTTGTAATGATTATCAAGGAGTTCCAAAGCGGGAGTTAAAGCATGTCGTGTTCATGATGTTCTACGACAATTTTGTGAAGAAAAACTTAAATCAGAAAGGCATGTTTTAGATGACATTACCTTTAATAGGTCTTTACAGTCTTATCATTACCTTGATGCTCGTCACACCACTTATTTACATCATAAGGTACCAACATATTGTACTATCATGTCTGACCGTGTGAGCTTCGACGAGGACTTTGGTTCATCTTTTAATCCTAGACTACAATATAATGAAGCATATGTGTTCCGTGATAAGCCTCCGGTTGGCAAAGAAGGGCACTAAGTAGGCGTGTTGGCAACCCAAACTACCCAAATCCGGTTTAATTATGACTTGATTCCCAAGTTCCTACTGCTTAGTCATCGGGCGGCAATTACCGAATCTTGAGGTTCTAAAACTACTGTACAGATCATTTGAAGGGCAGCAATGGAACATGGCAGATGATGAATTCCCACAGCTGAAATTCTTGAAGTTAGAGTCTTTGGATGTTGAAGTCACCTTCCCTTGCTTGAGCAACTTGTGGTGGTGCATTGCCCACAACTGAAGGAAATACCTTCTTCTTTGGGAGATATTGCCACGCTGAAGTAGATTGAGATGAAATGGTGCAGCTCCTTCTGCCATGGATTCGGCCAAGCAAATTCTGGAAATGCAACGTGATATGTCCAACGATGAGCTCACTGTCACTCTCTGTTGTCCAGTATAAAGGTGGTTAAAGCAAAATGGCCTGTTCACTGAAGTCAAATTTTCTGCAATCGACTGTAAGGTTTCGTTCTTATTTATATTTTCATCCATGATCTAAGCCCTTCAAAATATTACTCCCTCCGTCCCATAATTATTGTCCAGTTTTACTAAAATGAAAGATTTTTTTGGGTCAAAGTTAACTATATTTTACCTTAAACAACCGGATATATCCTTACATAAGTAATTGTTTAACCACTAAGATTTTATGGATAATGTTTTTTACTAAGGACAAATGTGTAACTTGATCCATAAAAAGTCAAATTGGACAATAATTTTGGGACAAAATATTTTGGGTAAAGTGGACAATAATTATGGGACGGAAGGAGTACTTATTTGTGGACCAGAATTTTATGTTTCCAAATTGAATTGAACCATTGTGATCTTTAGTAGACAATCCCAATTGTTTCATATCAGTCAATAATGAAACTAGGAAGTGTCGGAAACAGAAGAGAAGGATTTTATTTCATGCGCACTGCATTGAATATCTGTCATAAACCATATGATTAATTGGCAATGATTGGTTTTCTTGCAATTGTTTGTTTTGAACAGGAAGATAAATTTGGTAGATGACTCATAGACATAGTGATAGTAGTTTTGAACCATTAAAATCAGCAGTTGAGTCATCTCCTCATTCACGCTGCCCTCCAAGGATAGAGAATCGTGGTAATCAAGGTCATATTGAAGGAGACGAGGCTGGAATTCTTTTTCCTTCTGTCTGAAGCGTTGTACTAGTCGGGAATGTATCTGAACATTATAAGCTTGAATGGCGTACACAATATTCTTCTCGAGATATCTCACCCCGGATAAGTTGTGAACATTCCCTACTTTCCTCATTGTTGAAGAAACCATGGCATACATGGGAAAATTCTTGGCTTGGTTCTCATCTAGGATCATCAAGTGTACCTGATGAACAAAGTACAATTCCTAGCATGAGCAGCAAAAATAAGTTAAGAACTTTCAAACGAAAAGGAGTCATAATAGATAAAAAAAAAAAAAAGAAAAACTATTGTACAAACCTACTCCAACAATAGGATCTACAACCCAAAAGAAATCCTATTACAAAAGAGAAGTTCATATAGTTCCCGGGTTTGGAGGATTGGATGGTTGATTTTTGTTGGTTTCCTCGACTGGAGTTCGGATCGGTTCACCTTCCTTCTCGACCTCTGGCTCCTTCTCCTTGTTGCCACTGCCATCCACTTCCTCTAAGGAATCATCGTCGGAGACTAACTCGACTCTGATGAATTTGTCAGGAAGATCTGGCACTCGTGGTTCTTCACCAGGTTCGCCCATCAAGATTGTTGGGGCATCACTAGGAAAGGAAGTGATTTCCTCAGGAAAACCCATCTGGAGGATAGCATTGCACAAAGCGTTAAAAAGAGGAAGCTGTTCAATCGAGAGGTGCAGTAGCCCATTTTTCATCTGTTCATGCTGTGCCCGGCCGGGATCTTTCCTTATAAATTACTTTAGCCAGCCTGCATTAATAGTTCTGCCTGAATCCGTTCTTTCGAGAGCAGTGATAGCTACACCATGCCCGCCTAATTGGTTGGCTGCCTCACTAATGCCCAACATAACATTGGCCATTCCACCGGTCGGCAACATCCTCGACCAAAAAGCCACAACCATTTCTGCAAGTCTGACTTAGAAATGTGGGATTCCCCATATTCCCTCATTTTTTCCTCTAGCTCGTTGTACCTTTCTTGCAGAGAGGCCAACTCCTCTTTTTTGGCAGCAAGTTCCAACTGCTCCTTCTTCCAAACATCCTCTTGAGTCAATTTTTCATGCTCGATGAGCTTCCTCTCGAGCTCTAACCTGTTAAGCTCCTCTTGCAATTTCCTTTGGCGGAGCAAAAAACTGATCATCGAGGTACTCATCTGCAAAGTCCAAATGTGATATTCAGAAAGCGGAAATGTTGTATGATACATCTGTCAAAGTACAGTCACACTTACCAGCTTTAGAGTGTCCTCCTCGGTCATAGTCACTGCGTTCTCCTCGAGAATGGGACACTCGATCCGGGCGTCCCCAAAGTGGTATGTGGCAGCTGCAGCGGTGTAACTCGAAGACTCGTGGGAATTTACGGTGCCCTCGACGGTGTCTTTCAGATTCTCCAATAGAGGTTTTGGCACCGTGAACTTTTCAAGATCAATCTCCACAGCAAAGTGGCCCCCATCGGTCAAGCCTTCAGGATTTTCTTTGGGTGTCTCAACCATCAGGGGCGTAGACTCCTGAGGAATACCTTCTATAAGTAAACTTTCCTTCTCAGCATACTGGTCATGCTTGTTATTCTTTTCTCACTTTTCTCTTCTTTTTTCCCACTCTTGTCGATGAGCTTTCGTCATCTGAATTTTTAACATAAAAAATCTTGGAATCACCAAATAATCTAACAGAGGTCTTGCTCGACGACATGACCTAAAACAAAGGCAGTAAAAGGGGAGTTAGTACCTTCTTTTTCCTCGACAAGAATCAAAGGAATGTAATGCTGCACGTTGGCCCAGAGAATTAAGTTTTCATATTTCTCGATGGCGTTGATATCAGACCTATACTTCTCAATTTTGGACTTAATCTATTTTGGTCCAGCCATCTACAATAACGTCCCCCTCGTTTGTTTCTCGATAATCTCAGGCTACGCAGAGGTCCTCGGGAGCTTTCACATATAGATATTCAGGTTTCCACACTAGAGACCGATCGAAGAGCTTCACTATCTGTGATGCTTTTGATTTCATATTCCTCTTCACATTATACCAATCCCTGAACTTGGTCGAGGGAACATAGACTTTAAAGAAGTACTTCCACACGAGTAATCGCGGTCTTACCTTCACTAACTCACATAGTCTCACGTATCCAAGAATAACAGTTATCAAATTCTGGGTAAATCGAGCAAGTGGGATCTTATAGTGCTAGACTATTACTCCAAACAGAGAAAAAGGGGGAATCTAAGCCTTAGAAACATATCATAAATCATGATTTTTCCATCTGGTGGAGTATTAGCCTTTTCATTTTCTATGGGGGCTCGATATTCTAGATCTATGGGCAATCGTATTTCTCTGCTACTACCTTAACTTTTTGGGTGGAGTCTATGGTGGATGCGAAGTCAGATATGGTTTTTTCAGCCATGTCTCCTACAATGTATGCAACAACAACCAGATTCAGGCAAACGAAAAATAGAAACTCAAAAATAGGAAGGTTGAGGACTCACTTTAATCAGGTTCTGGGTTTGACCTTCTATCCACCCAGGATGGGGAATCTCCTCGACTGTAGCAGGATTGGGTTCCTCCAGCGACGGATGCACATGAGCAGTTTCGGCTGAAGTTGGTATTGGAGTGGCGGAGAAAACAGAGAGCTTTGGGGAATTTTTTGTTGTGCATTTTTTGGAATGCAAAATTAGTAGGAAAAAGCTCTGTGACTTTTTTCGTTAATAAAGACAGTCCCTCTTTCTCAGGACTTGACAGTTTAGGCGTAGTTCAAAGGGCAGCAATGATGATACGGCTGTCGCTTGGGAAACGTGCGCATTACTGAGGCACGATTTCAGTTTGGGAGGGATTCTGAAGCGGGTTGCCCTCTCTGTTCGAATCTCGACCCGCGAGCAGTTCATATGGTCCATATCATGTAGATTAGGCTGAGACTTATCCATTAAACTTGGCCGGGTCCAAATCAGTTTTATTTTGTGTGAAGTCTTGTTTATTTCATACAACTAACACTTGGTAGGGGCACTTGACGAGTCCATATCCACCAAGGATTATCGGACCGGCCCATCTGCCAATTAGGGCCTAACCGACCTTACAGAGGCAGTTCGGGAATAAGAACCTTAGTAGGATTCGGCTTCTCTCAAGATAATTTCATGCCTATAAATGGGGTTGATCTCACCACAATTGAGGTACAGTGTCTCTAGCTCCAGTAATCACATATACACTTCTTCGTAACCCTATTTTCTGACTTAAGTATCGAGTGTCTACTCTCGAAAGACCTCTGAGACTCTATTTTGCAGGAAACCCTATCGGAGTTCTACTGTTAAGCCGGTGATATAATTCCGGGCTTCGTCAACCTTCTTCTTTGGAAGAAATTGCTACCCTGAAGCCAATCGAGATGAAATGGTGCAACTCTGCGGCTATGAATTCTGCCAAGCGAATTCTGGAAGTGCAACATTAATGTCCAATGATGAGCTTACTGTCAACCTGCAAAGTCCTCTGAAATCAATTTGTTCGTGATCATGTCTCCTATACATGTTAGTGTAACGATATGATTTTGTTTGTAACTTACACTTCATAATCTAAGATTTGTTATGATATCCCAACTTTGTATTTCAGATTGACTTAAACGATAATGAGGATTTAGCAGACAACTGTAACATATAAGTCGAGTATTAATTAAACCAGAAAGTCTAAAATAGAAGAGATGGAATTCATTTCATGCCCTGAATTGAAAACCGGTCGTAAACCAGCATTAATCTTTATGATTGGTTTGCTTAAAATTTGTTTGTGAACAGGTTTATAGATTGGATAGATGATAAATGATGACAAGAGTTTGAACCGTCGAGCGAATGAGTAGTTTGCTGTTCAATAATCAATTTGGTTGTCTTCACTACATATTACTAACTCATCTTTATACACTGCTGCATGATAGATTTCCTCCATGGCCATCTTCACATTTGGTTCATCTTTTTCTTTTGTTCATTGAAGTACATATGGTGTTTTGCATATAACAAGGAGAAACTAGCAAAACACCATAAAAATAAACATGACGTAAAATGCAATCCTCCAAAACATTAGAGCAATGGAGACATGGACATAGAGTAGAAAAGACTAAAACAAACATTAACTACTGGAATTTACAGCAGTATGCTAGTTTAAACAGACTGACAGACAGATGATGATGCATGTTCAACCTATCCACCTGCATCAGGCAGAAAACATTCTGAGATCCAAAGGGAGAATGGAGTCTATACCACACCACTCTATTGGCATGCATGCTCATCAACTGAACTAGCATCTTCCACTGTATCTGTCAAACAAACAAGGACAAGAATTAGATCAAAATTAGAATACTAATTTGATAAGAAATTAATGCAACACTTACCAAGATCAAGAGTCTTGATCTCTTCTTTGTTCCTTCCATCTGTGCAACTTCTTTTACAAGGACTCCTGCGATTTTCCCCATCCATAACCATGTCCATGTCTTCAGCAATAGCATCACAACTTACTCTCAACTCCACTGAATCCCGACATCTTTTCCTAACATTTATTGTATCCATAAATTGAGTTGGATCGCCAGAGCCGGATTCTTCAAGTTCGACACATTGATTGGGAGGATTTTGTGTAAAAACATGCTCCCCGAACAGATTCCGAACCTTTGCCTTAAATACTTCAAGTTCCTTTTCAGACTCCTTAAGAGTTTTTTCTTCCAAGACAAGCTTGTGTTCCCTCCTTTTCATATCTTGCTGCATTGCGAGAAGATCATCGTTCAAACTATCTAACGTCGCCTCTTTGGCATGAAGCTCCTTTTCCAATGCCAGAACTTTTTGCTCCTTCAGATGAACCTCATTCTCCCTCCCCTGCAAGATTTCCGCTTTGGAGCAGACTGACTTTTGCTTACCCTCTACAACTTTCTTCTCCAAAGTGAGCTCACCATCCCTCGCCTTCAAATTAATCTCCATTACATCAAGCTCATTTTTCCTTTTATCCAGTTCTTTCTTTACAGAATCAAGCTCAGCGTTCCTCTTCTGCAATTTCTTCTCTGCAGCAGAAAGCTTATGTTCCTTTGATATAACATCATCTTCCAACTCCCGCAAACATTGCTCTTCAGCCGAAAGCCAAATTTCTTTTCCCTTGAACTCTTTCTCATTTAAAGTAAGTTCATGTTCCCTTGAATCAAGTTCTTTGCCCCGTCTCCTCAACATTTCATCTGTGGTTTCAAGCTCATTTTCTTATTATCCAAGTCTGCTTCCCTTCTCTGCAAATCCTTCTCAGCTGCAATAATTCTTCCCTCCAAAACATCGTCCTTTGAAAGTTCATTTACTTTTGTCTCGAGATCTTTCTTATCTGCTTGCAGCTTAATTTCCCATTTATCCAAAATTTCCTCCTTCACACGAAGATTAATTTCCTTTGTTTCTAAAGTGCTACTTTTGGAATCAAGCTCATCTTCTCTTTCCTTCAAGGTTACCATCCTGTGATCAAGCTCACTTTTCATTCTTCCAAGCTCTTCCCTATTTGATTTAAGCCCATCTTCTTGTGTTCTCAAAGCTTTCTCTCTGGAATCAACTTCATTTCGCCTACTGTCCAAATCTTCCTGCTGCAAACTAAGCTTATCTTTGCCTATCTTCAAAAGGCTTTCTTGTGAATCGATATCATTTTGCCTGATCTCCAAATCCTTCCCTTTGAGCTCCAGTGCTTGTTCTCTGACCACTACAGATTCTTCTCTGGAACAAATATCTCTTTCCTTTCCCTCCAAAATTTTGGCCTTTTCATTTAACTCATTTTCCCTGCTCTGTAAAAGGTTCTCCTTCGATTCGAAATCAGCTGTCATTTTCTCTTGCAGTAAACTAAGCTCATATTTGCTCATCTTCAAAAGGTTTTCCTGTGAATCAATCTCATTTTGCCTAATCTCCAATGCCTTCACTTTGACCTCAAGTCCTTGTTCTCCAACCACCACAGATTCTTCTCTGGAACCAACATCCTTCTCCTTTCCCTCCAAAAATTTCACCTTTTCGCTCAACTCATTTTCCGTCCTCTGCAAAAGTTCCTCCTTTGACTTGAATTTAGCTACCCTTTTCTCCAAACATTGCTCAGAAGCAGAAAGCTCAGCCTTCATTCCCTCCAAATCTTTCTCTATGGATCTGAGCTCATTCTCTTTTCTCTCCAGAAGGCTCTGCAGTGAACCATAGTAATCAACAAGATGCTGTTCTTTCGAAGCCACCTCCTTGAGCTTTTCATCTACAGAATCCCTAACCATCTCCATCTTCTTCAAAACCGCATTCAAGAATCCATCTTTTTCCAGCAGTTTCATGAACTTTTTGTCAACACTAATTTTTTTTAACTCAAAATCCTCCAAGCTCCGGCGGATAGACTCTTCCACGGACTTTAATCCCTCTTCTCTCGTTTCCAGTTCAGTGAAGCAGTCAGTGAGGCAGGCCTTAGCCGATGTCAAGTGACTCTCAACATCACCCCATTCAATCATCAGAAACTCCATCACACTATGAAGGCAATCTTTCTTCTCTTCATTCTGCTGCATTGCCTCCTCTAATTTCTCAAGATAACCCATCTCTCAAAACAACTAGATTTCTCTCCGTCTATGAGTACTAATTGAAAATTGAATTTCAAGAGAAAGATTCGATCTTGGAAGTGGGGATAAGTTCCATACTGTTTGTTACCTCTGGGTTTTTTTTTTTTTTTTCTGGGGTGGAAATTTGCGTTTCTGTAGAGGCTTGAAGTTTATGGAAAATGGCGTTTCTGGGTTTTTTTTTTCTTCTTCACTCCGGTGAACAATACCACTTTTTTTGTTTCCTGTCAGCAGTTTTCGAGTTTATTCTTTAGGTAAGAGTTTCAGAGTCTTTATTTTGTGCAGAGTGAGCAGAGTAGTGATTTGATGAAACGCTAATACATTAAGAATTTGTACGGAACAAGTGACATCTTTAAAGTCTCACATTTTCTCGGTTTTTAACCTTTTTGTATGGTTTGTTTGGATTTTTTCGTATAAGTTGTTGATTTGACTGAAGACTTTGAAGGCACTGTACAACTGTTCAACCAGAAACTGCATCCTTCTTTAACTACGGGTCGGAGTTCAAAACCCGCCAGGATCATAAAGAAACCTTAATAAGTGTTTTAATTGACGGTATCAGAACTCTGTAGCTCTAGGCAAAGTGGCAATTCCTTCATATTTGGTTAATCTTTTTCTTTTGCTCTTCGAAGTAAATAGGACGACAAATGCGGCATATATAAACCATCTGTTTTTCCTATTCAGATGAATTGTCATTCAGAGAATTGATATTGCCTACTCACTCCTCTCCTTATAATTCTATTCTAATTTCTTTTCTTCTTCGTTTTTCAATTTATAGCCAGAGTTCAACCATTCTAAAAGTCACTTCATTAGTAATTCCAACTAGGCGACAAAGGAAGATGTTTGCTCACTTCTATCATTGGATATCATTTCCATGGGCCGTCTCACACGTTGGCTAAATTAGATTTTTGTTACAAAACTGGTCTATATCTCCCTCAATAGTACTACTCAATATAGATATCGATAGACTATTTTTTGTCACGGGACTACATAGATGGTTTATACTTTATACCCCGCCCTCGATGGTTCTACTCAAGATAGAGGTCGATAGACTAAAATTTTTTGTAATTAAGCTTGAAAGCTTCTTTATATGTAAATTTTTTTATTTTTATTTTTTATTTTTTTGAAAAAAAAGAGACCTTAACAATTAGTGACATTGCAAATAAGAACTAGGAATTTCTCTAATTACAAGATTTAGAGTTCCAACTATATATGATCATTTCTTAATTTCATTTTATGGTTTCATAAACGGATAATGTAACTCTCTCGTGGTCAAAACTATGATGAATCCGTGTGGTTTGCCGGCTTTCAAAGTTCAAACGGAATGAGCCGTCGCAGATGATTGTAATGTAGCATCATCATTATTCATTGTTTGTGAAGGGAATAACTTTCAGTCATTCTCCTGATTGAAAGTTGAAACCATCCTCACAACGCAAAAGTTTGTTGCAGCATCCAAAAAAATTGAACTCGAATATGTATCCGTTATAGAAAATAATTGTCACCTATTGCAATAATAATCCATCCAGTAAAGAACAAAAGTTAATTTGAAAACATTACAACCTCTAATTTTAAATTGAAGAACCAAAGTTATTACGGAATCATTTCAAGATCAACAATAATCTAATTGCTCCTCTTATTGGGAAAATTTTTTTTGTACACATTTTGTTCCCTCAATTGTTTTTATATCTATATATATTTTTCTACCAATTCAAAATATAGAGACAAGGATTGGCATGATCTATCCTGACCTCTACTTTCTTGTTCGATACTACTAGGCTCCATCCAACAACAATGGAGTTGCTTTTCAGTATCTTTAAGACTCTTACTTGAAAATTCTTTCTTCCCAAACGTGTTTTAAATGTCTTATCTTTGAGACAATAAAACACCCCATTATCCGTCGTAGAATCTTGGAAAATATATCTTGTTCCTCATGTACTCCCTGTCACTCTTCCCGGCAAACGATGTTATTTCGCTTAAGAATATCATATTTTCTCCCAAATCGTTTACGACTTGCCAGCTCCTAGTCGGATGATCCCACTTAAAAACCGAGAGACGAGATCCCATCGATGCTACAAACACAAGACATAAGTTCCCCATCGAAATCTATCAAATAACTTTCATATGATTCTCTAGCTTTAATTTTTTTTATGGGTGTTGTATTATTGTGTACCGTCCATCACTGGGATGAAAAACACCCAATTCTCCATACCTGCCCAAACAGTATAACTTTCCGTTGCGAAAGACTAAATTACAATAAGACGGAAACATGGGTGGAGATACTGACTCAAAATCAAACATATTCCAACTTTTTTCGCCTCGAGAAATTGTTAAGAAACAATGATCTTCATTGCGAGAAGTAACGCCCTTGCGATGAACGCTCCAGGGGTAAGGCAAGTCTGGTAATCCAATTTTGGACTTGGTGAAAGGATTGTAAAAAAATACTTGATGAGGTTCCTTAGACATTTAGTAACCAACCATCTTTGGACTAGAGGATGGAAGCATGTTGCAAGCTGGGAATTTGCAGACTATACGGAACCTTTAAAATTGAGTAGAACAATCTGAGTGTTGATCTCCCTGGCTTTTTCACTATGAGGCATTGTGAACCAAACCCAACATAACCCATCGATTTCCGCAGGATCAATGCTTGAAGGTCAAACGTAAGAGAATTCCAAGGAAGACAAGTCCAATCGGTTGTAATTGTCATGAGATTTTTGTCGGTTGTCGTCATGATCGGAGACAAGTTTCAATACCTTACAGCGTGCAACGAAAAGGTTCAAGGTGTTCATAACTCCGAATATCTGTGCGAGTGTGAGTTTGTGGATGAAAAGCCGGTAGTTAGAAGATTAGTAAGAATGCCTGACACAGAGACGGAGACAGAGACAGACGACGACAGAGGCTCATTTGTGTTCCGATATTTGGTTGGATGTTGCGGCCATACTTTTATGGTTAGTATGTTAGCATTAGGGGAATCAACCTTTAGACTTAAGGATATATAAATATCTACAAGTTGGATCGGACAAACTTAAGATGGACTGAGGTAGAAAATATTGATGATCGCGTTTTCTTCCTCAACCATGATTCCTCAATTTCTTGCTCTGTGGCAAATTCAGGTCTTAAAGTAAATTGCATCTACTTCACTCAGTTGGATGACTGGAATTTATATTCATATGATATAGAGGAAGACAGAATACACACTCATTCAAACCTTGTCCAACTGCAGTTTACCATCGGTCGCGAGCTTATTTTACAATGATTCAGCCATAAAGAGGCGGTAATAGATTAATTTAGCCACCTAAAGCTTTCTTTTTCCATTTTTTCTTTTGAACCTTTGGGTACTTCAATATGTATTCTTAAATTCTTTTTTGGTTCTTTTTTTTTTTGGTTAACAGATGTATTCTTAATTAATTTAGCTTAATGCTGAGATAGATTTAGATTGGCTGTTGCTTTGTTTTTGTTTGTGTTTATTTCCTCCTGGGTGATTTTTAAGTTGTTTTAATTCTAGTTTGCCTTGAAACACGCTGATGCGGAACAGAAAATATAATCCTAATTCACATGAAAATAAATATATATAACTTCACATGTGACTGAACAAATGTAACAGATGCTGAATTAAAAAACCGTCATATAAAACATGTCAGTTTTTAAGTGAAACTCCGGCTGCGGAAGGCCCAGCAACACGAGCCTGACACAATTTCCTGAGATGACCTGATTAGACTGCAAATCCCAGTTAACATTACATAAAATGTTGTACTCCAGTTCTAACTACATGTTAACTACGAAATGTTAACAGCTATATGAAGCACTGAAATATCCTTCCACTAATCATTGTTCCTTCTTACAAATTCCGGAAACAGAGCTTATTTACAGTTCTTTCAAGTATAGTACACACAATACACAATGAAAGAAAGCTTCTCGTGCACACAGGAGGGTTTCTACTGTTCCAAAAGAAATATAGCCGTTCTCCGGCTAAACATTTAAGAACAAAAGATATGTACATTAATTTCACAAAATGCTTAAGTTAATGTTACTTTATACATGCACAGTCACACCAGACATTTCCAGTGATTTTGATCAACACAACAAAAGTCCAGCACAATATATTCTGGTCGAAAAGTTCACCAGATTAGGTGGTCAGCTGAGTGTATTCGAGATTTGGATATATAAATGGCACGACCTTTGTCAAGCATGAAGCAGATCCCAGTTGTTAAAACTAGAAATGGAATTTGGTGCAAAACATTGCATATGGTTTCACTTTCACTAATCATATATTAGCCTTGTCAAAACAAAAAAAAACAAAAAAAAAAGTCCATATTGAGTTTTGAGATTTATATTAATTTTAGTACAAATTTAAAAACTTAATGTGGAAAATTTTTCTAGGCCAGAGAAATTATATATAGTCTTAGTCAAGTCTAAATTTGTCATATTTTTAGTAATCATATTTTTAACTAAATCCAATTGACAATAATGATTATTACTAACCAAACAATTATCCGATCTGATTTTTTTTTTTTTTTTCAGTTCTAACTGAACAATTGTCACAAGACGGGGGAGTAATAACCAAGAAACTTGATATGGGTTAACAAGGACATGAGTACAGGACAAAGGACATGAAGATGGTGGAATCTCATGAATATATATATATATATATAATCTTAATTCTTGGTGTTTTGAATTAGTTTTTCGGTCCTAAAATAATTGTTCAATTAAATATTTATTTTTAGTACTATAAATTAGTATTAAAATTAAAAATTCAAAATCGACAATCATTTCACAAGGGAGATTTATTGGCAGTCTCTCTCTCCGCCGAGGGCAGGCGTGGACTTGGTAGACGACACTAGCGAAATAATTTATGTACAAGCATCCTTCAATCAAATGCAGACTTCCTTGTCCGTGTTTGGCGTTACGCATCTCAATATTCTGTTAAAGAATCCTTGCTGTCGGAGCCAACAAAACGGGAGATGTTTCATGTTTGGTCAAAAACTAAA